AGGGGGCCCCCTTGTGGCCCGGGGCCCTAAGCAGCTGCTTAGTTTGCTTATGCCTTGGGCTGGCCCTGTGTTGGACTTCTGTGCTGGTCATAGTTTTTCCACTACCAATATCATTTTCAAACATGAGGGTGTCCATAAGTGCACTTGGCACTAGGACGCCATAGGCCATAGATTGATGACTGACTTCACAATAGTGTTATCTAATTTACGAACGTTTGTTTTGGACACTCGGGTGAAGAGAAGAGCTGAGCTGTCAACTGATCACCATCTGGTAGTGAGTTGGATCAGATGGCGGGGGAAGATGCTGGACAGACCTGGTAGACTCAAATGTGTAGTGAGGGTTTGCTGGGAATGCCTGGCTGATGAACCCCTCAGAGAGATCTTCAACTCACACCTCCGGGAGAGCTGTAACCGCATCCCAGCTGAGGTGAAGAACATTGAGTCCAAGTGGGCTATGCTCAGCATCTCACTTGTTGAAGTAGCTGCCTTGAGCTGTGGCCGCAAGGTTGTCAGTGCTTCTCGCAGTGGCCATCCACGAACTTAGTGGACTGGTGGACACCCCAGGTTAGGAAGGCTGTCAAGCTGAAGGAGGAGTCCTATTGAGCCTTGTTGGCCAGTGAGACTCCAGAGGAAGCTGAGGAGTACCGGAAGGCCAAGCGGTCCACAGCCTTGGGTGTTTCTGAGACAAAAGCTTGGATGTGGGAGGAGTTCAGTAAGACCTTGGATAGAGACTCTAGGTTGGCTCCTAAGAGATTCTGGCAAAACCATCAGGCGGATGAGGAGGGGAAAGCAGCACTTTACTAACACTGTGTTCAGTGAAGGTGGGCTGCTGTTGACCTCAACCAATGATATCGTTGGGAAATAGAAGGAATACTTCTCGGACCTTCTCAATTCCACCAGCATGTCTTCAATGGAGGAAACTGAGATGGGAGACTTTGGGGTTGATCCGTCCATAACTGTGGCTGAGGTCTCTGAAGTAGTTATAAAGCTCCGAGGTGGCAGGACTCTGGGAGTGGATGAGAAAAAAAAGATTCACCCTGAATTTCCTTAAGGCTCTGGATATTGTGGGGCTGTCTTGGTTGACATGCCTTCGCAATGTCACATGGACATCGGGGGCAGTGCCACTGGATGGGCAAACTGGGCTGGTGGTTCCCCCCTTCAAAAATGGGGACCGGAGAGTGTGCTCCAGTTATAGGGGCATCACTCTCCTTAGCCACCCTGGCAAGGTCTATTCAGAGGTACTGGAAAAGCAAGTCAGACCGTTGGTCGAACCTCAGATCCAGGAGGAACAATATGGGTTCCGTCCTGGCCGTGGAACACTGGATCAGCTCTTTATCCTCATTATGGTTCTCGAGGGGTCATGGGAGTTTGCACATCCAGTCTATGTGTTTTGTGGACTTGGAGAAGCATTCGACCGTGTTCCTCAGGGTACACTGTGGGGGGTGCTCCGTGAGTATGGGATTGGGGGCCTGTTGCTATGGGCTGTTCCTATACAAGCGGTGTGAGAGTTTGATTCCCACCCACTCCGCCAGGGCTGCCCGTTGTCACAGATTCTGTTCATAACTTTTATGGACAGAATTTCTCGGTGCAGCCAGCGGGCGGAGGATTTCCTGTTCGGTGGCCTTAGGATTCCATCTCTGCTCTTTGCAGATGATATGGTCCTGTTGGCGTCATCGTGCCATGATCTTCAGCTCTCACTGGAGTGGTTCGCAGCCAAGTGTGAATTGCTGGGATGATAATCAGCACCTCCAAATCTGAGGCCAGCCATGGTCGTCAACTGGAAAAGGGTGGATTGTTCTCTTCAGGTCGAGGGTGAGGTTCTGCCTTAAGTGGAGGAGTTCAAGTATATTGGGGTTTTGTTCACTAGTGAGGGAAGAATGGAGCAAGAGATTGACAGGCGGATTGGTGCAGCATCTGCAGTATTGCGGTCACTGTACCGGTCCGTTGTGGTGAAGAGAGAGCTGAGTTGTAAGGCAAAGCTCTCTGTTTACTGGTCGGTCTACATTTCTACCCTCAACTATGGTTATGAACTCTGGGTAGTGACCGAAAGAATGAGATGGTGGATACAGGTGGTTGAAATGAGTTTTCTCCACAGGGTAGCTGAACTCTCCCTTAGAGATGGTAAATGGTAAATGGACTGTACTTATATAGCGCCTTTCTATCTTATTTCAAGATACTCAAAGTGCTTTACACTACAATCTGAGCCCTCATTTACCCATTCATACAGCACTCTACTAGATCTCTACAAAGCTAATTGAACAAATCATTCTAAAGAGACAAATCAGTGCTTTGGATCACATTCATACATTAATGGGACACGGAGATAGGGTGAGAAGTTCAGTTATCCGAGAAAGACTCAGAGTAGAACCACTGCTCCTCCACAATGACAGGAGTCAGTTGAGGTGGTTTGGGCATCTGGTAAGGATGCTCCCTGGGCACCTACCTAGGGGGGTTCTTTGGGCATGTCCGACTGGGAGGATACCCCAGGGAAAACTCAGGACATGCTGGAGAGACTACGTCTCTCAGTTGGCCTGGGAACACCTTGGAATTTTCCCAGAAGAGCTGAAAGAGGTGGCTGTGGAAAGAGATATCTGGGCCTCCCTGCTCAAGCTGCTGCCCCCGACTCAACTTCGAAATAAGTGGAAGATGTTGGATGGATGGGGGTGGTTTTGGGTTCGGACCTGTAATTACTGTTATTTCGTCGAGTTTGGGTGGGGTTTGGAAATGAAGGCTACCGGCTGGGGCCGGGTCGGATTTTTTGGGCCCCAATGCAACTCTACTTGGTGTGTCATCTGGACAGAAAATGGATGATAAGGAAACCTGGAGGTGGAATAGTGAAGTGCAGGATGCTATTCAAAGAAAGAGGTTAGCCAAGAAGAATTATGACGGTGAGGGTTGAGCAAGTTTCCAAATTGTGAATCTGTAAGGAAAAATATAACCAGAATAGAATTCAAAATCTTACTTCTAACCTACTACAAAGCTCTCAATAACCTGGCTCCATCTTATATTACAGATCTTATTGTTCCATATTTTCCTAACGGAGCACTTCGCTCTCAGACTGCAGGTTTACTTGTGGTTCCTAGAATTTACAAAAACAGAATGGGAGGAAGATCTTTCAGTTATCAGGCTCCTCTCTTGTGGAACCAACTTCCAATCTCTGTCCATGAGGCTGACACATTATCCAGTTTTAAAACTAGGCTTAAGACTTTCCTTTTTGATAAATCCTATAGTTAGGGTCAGCTTGGGTTTCCTGAGCTGCCCTTAGTTATGCTGCTATAGGCTTAGACTGCTGGAGGACAAACTGACCACACTTTTCACTCTGCTACTGTCTTTACTTACTCTGCTCAACCTGTTTTGTATTTGTAATTATTTTTTATATCCTTAACATGTTTTTGTCTTTCAGATACACCTGGACCTATACCTGGACCTACCATTCTGTGTTCTTCTGTCTCTCCTTCCTGTCCTCTCAACCAGCCGGTCAAAGCAGATGGCCGCTTGTCCTGAGCCTGGTTCTGCTGGAGGTTTCTTCCTTTTAAAAGGGAGTTTTTTCTTTCCACTGTTGCCACTGTGCTTGCTCAGGATGGGAGACTGTGATGAAGCCAAGATTCATCTTGTCTGCTGGATTCCTTAGATAGAGAACTTTACTAATTGTTTATGTATGTGAATGTTCCTGTAAAGTGTCCTGAGACAACTTTGTTGTGATTTGGCGTTATATAAATAAACTGAATTGAATTTAAATTGAATATAGAATGTGACACCATGGCATCAATGAGACTAACCTGTATAAATAAAGGTTGAATCAATGAAATCTATTATTCACATGGAACAGCCATGGTTTACCACTGTTAGAAATATGTTGTCTGCTTTACACACAACATCATAACATACACACCTTTCCAGGCATCTTTGAATCTTGGGTCACCATCCTTCCAGATCGGGTACATCTTTGTGTTCCATAATGGGTAGCGAGTGAAGCGGGTTTTGGGCTCTGAAATATTAAAAGCAAAATACATCAAACAACATGAATACACCTTGAGAGATTTACAGTGCAGACCAGATGTTTACATACACTATTGTAGTGAACTCGGCCTCCGACCAAAACCTGTCTCTGAAGACCTTCATGGGACAGGAACTGTTATTTCATTGATTTGAATCCAGAAATACAAATTAGCTCATCCAGAGACTGTCTAATTGTATCCTGAAGTAATCAATTAAAAGAACACTCTTCTTTTTCATATTATCATTACTATTTTACAATATCTTGATAATCAAAAGTGTGTTTAGTTCATATCATTTCTAATGTTGAAGTGAACCACTCATTTTAAATCAACTGTGAAACAGTATTAATGATTTTTTTAAACCTCATTTAAATTAGAAATCAAGTTAAATGTCTATTTACAAAGTAATTATGCATTTTGATTTTCTGTCTAAATGAGAAGTAGTGATGTCGGTCAAAAGTCAGAGACAGTCAGAAAACAAATTATTAGAACGGGCTGTATTGTTTTTAAACCTAGCAGACGGTAAAAAGAGAAACAACTGGCATCTGCGTTGTCTCACTTCGCCATAACATTTCTCTGTCTGTACTAAACGTTCCTAAACATTCCTGAACCCTCGCTTGACTTTCAATAACCCTCTGACATCACTAGAACCACCCCCTGTTGGTTGTTTCAACCAATCAGGAAGTCCTAAGTGACCGGAAGTGAGAACTCTTTAAAAGTCGACACTTCCTGAAACTATTCAGTCTTTTCTGTCTATTCAGTCTGAAGTCTTGGAGTTCTTCTGAGTCTTCTTGACTCTTCAGTCTTTGATGGAATCTTCTCAAGCCTTCTGGAGTCTTCCACTTCTGAGTGGGATCTCTGACCGAGTCACAGCGACTGGCTGTGAATTCACCCGGGCGTAACGCCTCCAACTTCGAAGGGAGCTGAGCGTGTTTGTTGAACGGAGTAAATCGACACGACTTCTGACAATGAGCAGCCGCTCTAACCGGAGACGCTGGAAGGTAGCGTTGAAATGGACCCGGTACCGGAGCTGATCCATCTTCTGCGAAGGTAACGAGTCGGCACGCGCTAAGTGTACCGGAGGTTTGAGCTGGTGACTGAAAGAAGCGTGCCAATTCTGGTCCATCCAAACATACACCTCCCTTCATCCATCTCTTCTTTAAACTCCTTCATTCCTTCCTTTAAACTCTTCTATTTTGCTAGTAATCTTTCTAGATGCCTTCAGAAATGTCCCGTTGTCTTATTAGTAAAGCGTGCCAAGTTTTATTAATCAGAACCAGATCAGCTAATCATGTGTACAGCAGACAACGGTAGTTGTACATGTTTTGATGTTAAATTTTGATTCGGTTAAATAAATGACCACATTTATTCTGATGGGTCAAAGGAAAATTAACGTCTCTTGTCACTGATTAAACAATACTCACAGTTACCTCGGTCACATGGCATTAATTTAACTCGAAAAAGAAAGAACCCGTTATATTTAAATAACTAGTGACAGCGAAGCTGCACCCCACATTTTACTACATTTGGTGGGACCGTATGTCCACAGTTAAGCTGTCCTTGACACACTACACTATAAAAAAACTAACCTTTTTTATCTCACTGCCTGACATGAAATCAGATTAAATCAGTACTGTTTCTTGTGTCAGTTAGGATTCCCATATAT